TGTTATTCAAATTTATGCACGAATTCTCATAGAACGGAGACCAAGAGCACACTCGGCGCGGGCGCAGAGAGTTCTTTGAACTTTTGGTTGCGACTATAACGATTATGTCTTCATAGTTGGTTCAGAAAGCTTAGCTCTGGAGCTGAACCACGGGCTCAAGAAACGAAAACGAAATAACATCATCATGACATAAAAGCAAAACTACCAAAAAAAAAAAAAACAAAAAACTAACTAAAAACTTTACCGACACCGACACAAAAGTTCATTCGCCTCACGAGTAGACAAATTAGAAAAATTAATACGCCGCTGACTTTTCAAAGACCCCCGAAGAACCTCTGCTCAGCTCACTCTCCCTACCATCCATTCCCGAGAGATGCCTTTCCCCCACCGACACACAACGAAAAACCAAAAAAAAAAAAAAAACCCCAAAAAAAAGAAGAACCCATCAAAAAGTGCGTCCAAAATGTTGTTGTTGTTTTTGTATTTTTCTTTCGCTGTCTTTTCCATTTGCTTTTTATGTAAGCAGCGAGAATGTAACAAACTTTTGGTGGGTCTGAACTTTTGGGTTTCTTTTGGTGGGTGTGGGGGGGGGGCGTTGCGGTTCTCTATGTATATAAAGTTCTGTTCTGTGGTTCTTTTTGGGCAGTTCATTGACCAGCCAGCAGGCAGCAGAAAAAAAGCAGAACGTACCAGAGCAAAGACAAAGCCCGGCCAGAAGAGACCCGAAATGGCAATCTAAGTAAATGAACTTTAACACAAAAGCTAGGCAGTTCTTTGGCTAGAACCTAAAAATTACCCAACTAGAAGAGAGAGAGGAAGAAATAGTAAGAGCGAGAGATAGAGAGAGATGTATAGAGGTAAAGACTCAGTCGGTCATACTTTCAAATTGCATTAAAGAAGAGTAGGGGTACGAAAGAAAAAACTGCAATCGGCGGACTGCAGTCGGAAGAAACGAAACGAAACGCAAGAAAGAAGCGCAGAAAGAAAGCCTTTCTTTTTGCATTGGGGAAAAAAACTGGTTGCAAATGCTGCAGTAGACGGGGTAGGGGTGGGGTGGGTAGTGTAGCTGGAGATGGAGAAGGAGAGACACACACACACACACACACATACACAGAGTGAGAGATTGGCAATGAAAGTATCTGGCGCTGTTTGGCCACACTCTCTTGGCCCGGCCAACAGCTTCTCGTGCGCGCCGCACAAGAAAGAATTCTTCTACTTAGATTTTTGCGGAAATGTTCGTGTTGCTGTTGCTGTTGCTGTCTCTTTCTTTTTGCATCTACCTGTCTCTGTCTACTGTGCAGTTCAAGTGAGTACGTTGAACTTGGTCTCTCTGTGTACATAGAGAGGGAGAGACCGAGACCGAGACAGAGACAGAAGTGGAGTAGCAAAAGAGATGACAAATAATTAAATGGCAGAAAAGAAGCAGCAACGCCAGCGGCAGGTTTCGTTACAGATTTCGGTTAAGCGATAAGACCAGAACCAGAACCAGAGCCAGAAGATCATCAAAATGCTATTACAATTGCATATAATGGTGGTGGCTGCAACGCGCTGGGAATTCTAATGCATACCACCATCCCACCATCTCCCTGTGTCACTCCTTGGGCTGCGGTTGAACCCGATGTTTTCCGTGGATAAGAGCTGGAAAATTCTTAAATTGCACACATTCTCTGAATGTCTGTTTTTGAAGTAGAACAAAACTGAGCGAAAATTATGGTGAGATAATCTAAGAAATGCCAGCGAAAAGTTTGAATCTATTTGTAAAGGGAATGCTGGCACAGGGCAATGAAATCAAGGGGTCAGGGGAGAGCTTGGAGAGGTATCAAAAATGCCCCATAAGCTTGTCAACTTGTGTAGTTCACAGCTTAGGTATCAAAGAAAATGTATCAGCTGCTTAGGACTCAGGATTTGTTATTCCCCCGAGCATAGTGTCTATGTGTTCTTTGGATAAACGGATTAAAATCCTTTCTGGGACCTACTACAGCAGCAACTATCATTCTTAGCTCCTACTACAAAACAAATACATAAAACACATAAAAAACTTCCACTAAACGCATTAGTGGCCCACTTTACCAGCGGGACAGACTTCCCCCATGAGGACGGTCAGTCGAATTCCCCAGAATGTTGACGAAATTTATCATGTTATTCTTCCAGTTGGTAGACCTGGTCTCCGCCTGCAGTTCACTCACATTTGGCCCTAATCAAAACAGAACAAAACAAATGAGTCACAGATCTGGTTAGCATGTTTGTTGCCTGTTGCTGTTGCCATTGATGTTGATGCCACATATTCATGGTCAAAAATTTCCATGCCCAGCAAAGAAGAAGAAGGGGCATTCATTGTTGTTTGCGATTACACTTTCGGTTAGTGGCTGGCGACTGAGACTGCGACTGAGTCAAGCCCGTTAGCCCAGTTCCTTATGCGCAATATTCCCCCGCCAATTCCAATGAAAAGAAACTCTTTAAATGAGTCAGTCCAACAGTGCAGTGTTATCGCAGAAAGCCAGATGATGATGTTCATGATGAGCAGACAAGACAGAAGCAGCACCATCATAATGATGATGATGATGATGATGTTCCGCACAGAAGTCATTGACTTCATAAGGCCTCCCTCTGCCGCATGTTTACACGCCAAATTATTACAGATGAACAAAAATGAACAGAACCAAACCAAACGAAGCTACAGCTCTGGATCCAACTCCGGACTCCAAGACGGAGTTGAAGTTAAAAATCTTGGGCAGGTTCAACGACCGTTTTTGTAACACGAACGAAACGAAAGAATGGTTTGGGGGCTTGGGGCGAGAGAGAACCTTCTTTTAGCCGCTTTCAGTGCTGCTGCTGCTGTTGCTGCTGTTGCGAATAAGAACGCGAATATCAGGCAAAACAAAGCGAGCGACGATGGCCAACAACTTTCACCAATTTGTTTTGCTTTCGCAGTTCTGGATACGACGACGACGACGACAACGACACGACGACGCTGACAGGCAAAACGAAAGACTTCGACGACAAACAATTGACAGACATGGGCCCAAAGTCAATGAGCCAACGCGTCTTCCACTCCCACTCCCACATTCAATCTGTGTATTTGTGGCACCATCTGAAGAGTTCTATATGGATTACTATATGCACATAGATTTATTTTTTTTTATTTTTCATTTCTTTCTAATATTATTTTTGGTTATGGCTTTAATAACTTTCCCATTAAAAGCTAATAAAGGCGCAGGCCACTTCCGGCCAGAGCGCGGGGTTCTGGCTTCATTTGATTAGCAGACAAATAGAACGTCACGTTCTGGTCAAGACAGACCCCTCTGCAGAGTCACACCCTCCCACCATCCCGTGCCCTTTCTCTCTTTGGGTCGTCTCCCCCCCCACACACACACAAACACACACTGAAAACTTGCCCCCCTTTGCTAATCAAATGCCTCGTTCAATGTTCTGGAAGAATCTCCTCGTCGTCGTCGTCGTCTCTGTCTTCTCTTTCTCTCTTCGTCTTCGTCTTGGCTCATGCGTAGCGGTTAGCTTACGGTACTTTTCGTTTTCATTGCACGTCAGCAGCAGCAGCAGCAGCAACAGTGAGCAGAGCAGCGACAGCAGCCGAAGAGCGGCAGCCGCAGCAGAGCTGAGAATGTTTAGCCTAGATTCGAGCGCAGGTTCGTTGAACTGAACGACGACTTCGGCTCCGACTTGGACTTCGACTTCGTGCGCGCCTTCGTTTGTCTTCAGTGCCTTCCTCTTGTTCTTCCACTCATTCCTATGCTGCTGCTCTCTGCTGCTGCTTCTTCTTCTTCTTCTGTTGCTGCCACTGCCACCGCGCCTGGTTCTTCTCGCAAGTTCGTTGCCTAAGTCTTTTCTTTTGGGGTTCATTTTTTTTGGGTTCCTGGTTCTGCTGGTTAAATCACATTAAATGAGCTTTGATTATGGTAAAACAAATGTTAATCTAATTTTCATGGGAATGTAACATCTAACACTCAAAACACATACAAATAAAAGTTCCAGCAGAAGCATAACAAAGTAAGAATATAAAAAATGGAATATAAAAATACACAGAATTAAAACATAGAATTTTTTTGTAAGTCTGCAGACAAATAATAGCGTAAGGAGAAATGTGAATTCTATTTTGAAGATACAAAGAGCCAAGAAGAAAAAATTTCAGCAAAAACTAAAAAGAATATAAATATAGAGAATAATATTTTATTTTAATCAGTTAATTCCGAATTGAATATTTTAATCTCGAAGAATACTTGATATTTGTACCAAATATTGTTACAAAATGTAAGCTAAAATTTTCGTTGGTTGCAAGCAATAGAAATTCAGTGGCAAAAGTCAGCAGATAAGAGAAAGAGTTCTGCAACAAAAAAAAAGTAGAAGAAGAAAATGCAGTAGAAGAGAAGAGCAAAAAAATATGTTGTTGCAGTCGGGGCACAAATGCAGTTGCAGTCGAACAGGAGGAATAAGGGGAAGAGACACCAGCAGCAGCAGCTGAAGTCGAAGCTGAGGCTGAGGCAGAGCCAGAGCCAGAAGCAGTTAAAGCCAATGACCGCAAGTAACTTACATTTGAAAAATGTGTGCAAAAAGCACAGCGAAAGGAGACTTGCATACAGCTGCACACACACACACAGAGTGACAGAGAGAGAGAGAGAGAGAAAGACAAGACAAGACAGCGAAAGAGAAAGACAGAATGAGCGGGAAAAAAGAGCGGTGCAGATGCAGCAGAATATAACAGTACTCGGTGGCAGCTTCGCGATTCTTTTGCTGCCCAAAGATGCAAACCGGTCCCCCCAAAGAAGCATTTTCCAAGAAAATTATCGAGGGAAAGGCGCAAAAAAAACACACACACACACAAAAAAAACCACCAGATAAATAGTTTTTCCCGAGCCAAAGTTCTTTGGCTTTTGGGAAACATTCACCTCCACATCTTGATGGAGGCAATTTGGGGAAATGCAATTGTGAAATACATTCCATTTAATTGGCTATTTATGAGACGAAAGACGCTGTTTCTAACTTACCCGTCGCTCACTTCTGATGGCCCATTGAGTGAATGTGGGAGGGAATATAAGAACGTACTCGAACGGCCACCGAACGGGTGGCCTATTGCGCTGTGTTTGGGTCATTCTGGTCAAGTCTTGTCAACTGAAAAGAAGAGAGGTGAACGCGTATTAGAGGTGTGTGCAGAATGTGTGTGTGTGTGTGTGTGTGTGTGTGTGTGGTGGGGAAAGGCATTCGAATGGAAAGGAAGCTTTTTTTTTTTTTGGTTACTGAGTTGCAGCATCTTGGAGGGTTACTCTAGCAGGAAGCATTCCCTCAAAGTTCTATAGCCGAACAAATCGAATATTTAATGTTTCTGGGATTATATTTTTCTTGCTATGGATTGACTGGATTTTCTGGTTATAAAATGGTTTTCATTTCTTTTAAATGCCATTAATATTGAGTTGGAAAATATATTCTACAAACAATACGAGTTTTTACAGTTCTGTAGAATATTTTTTCATTAAAAAGGTTTGCTTTCAATTTGAAAATTTAAGCTAGAAATTTAACCAAAGAAAAACGCACTACCAAATCTTTTATGAACCGAAAAGTTGTCTAGTCCACGAACCTCTCAATTCCTTCACCCTACACACATTCCAATCGTATGGCAAACCCCCACCCAGATTTAGATAGACACCTACTAGATATAATCTATCTGCATCCCAAGCCACATATCATTCCTATCTTGCCAGCAATCTGCCATCTTCATCGCCGTGGTAGAACCATCCAGCGAGCGTAATTGATGTCAAAAATGCATTTTGTTAACCACAACAAAGAAAAACGTACAAAAATTGCAACTAATTGAAAATTGCTAGGCCAAGAAATATCTTTCTTGGCCATAATCATACTCAATAGAAAATGCAGCTGGGAACGCTGCTTCCCAAACAGCAAACAGAAACCAAGAAAGAAAGAAAAAGAGTTCTAACCACAAAGAAATGGCAGCAGCAACAGCAACAGCGGCGGCACGGCGCGGCAGCAGCAGCAGCAAAAAAATGTTGCACAAAAAAGAATTCCCAGTGACCTAATTTTTGTACTTGGATGCAGTTGTTGTTGTTGTTGTTTGTGGCAATTGTTGTTGCTGTAAGCGTTAGCTTCCCATTATTGTTGGTGTTATTGGTGCTGCTGATGCCCGGTGCTGGTGCGGTTCTCTGTCCCGGAAGTTCTTTGCCTCATGCGACCGATAGATCGAGGAACTGTGCAGCTTGCAAATAACTGAAATTATGCCTCAGCCTTCTACTTCTTCTTCTAGCACTTCTTGCCACCCCACTACCCCATCACCTTCTGCCACTTCGGCCACCTCTTTCACTAGTTTTTCATCTTCTACAGAAAAGATCATTCAAATTATAGAGTACAACCGGAGCGATTGTATCGATTCTGTTTTGAGGGGGTGGTGGGTATTACTCTGAATTTTCATAGAACGTTTTGCCCATGGGCGATTTCGGGCAAGGAAAACTTTGTTCGAGTTTCCCATTGAGACGAATTTCCTTTGCCCCAGAGCCAAATATGGAAAATTGCCCAGGTTCCTCTCTCTCCCTTTTCTAGATCCCCTCTATGGCTGCCACACTCCCTTCGAGAGACTCTTTCTCTCTAAATTTCTCAGTGTCTCTCTCCCTCTCTCTCTCTCTCATTGTGTCGTGCCCACTTTGTATGCTGTAACAGGAGCGTAATAAACACTCGCCTAACGGTGCTTTTCTCTATAGATATATATGTATACATATATATTTTTTTTTTGCAACCAGTGAGTGTGTGCAACTGCCACAACACAGCCACAGCAGCGGGAAATGCAGCAGCAAAAACAACGAGCACAGGCCAGAACGAATGACTGGAAAAGCCAGAGAATTGTTCGCTGTTCGCTCCGCTAAGTGAAATGCTGCACTGAAGTGCATTATAACCGTACATTTGCTCACTCACACACACTAGCAAACATTTGAGCACACACACACAGACACAGAGGCATAGATGCATGTTGCTCGTTGCAGAGCTATGCAATTTTCCACTTTTTGCTTTTAACGTGGCTTGAATACGGATTCTGCTGCCTTGAGAAGGGGCCAAGCTGAGAAGCTGAGATTTACATGGCTTGTGGGGCAGTTCTTTGGCAGTCTTTTGGGTAACTTTAAATACCCGAATAGATATAAGGTAATATTTGGGAGCAATAATATTAATAGAAGAAGAAGAAAAACCTCTTATTTAAATAGAGCAACGATCGTAGAAAGAAAGAAATTTTACGTTATTTGGGGAGTAGGCATAAAGATCTTTCGACCCAATGGTAGATGATGAAATGAAAGGACTTTTCGGCTAAGATAACCTTTTTTTGCGCAGCAGAAAAATGCCAATACAGAACAAAGAAACAAATCCTGCAAAGACATAAAAAAAAAACTTACATTTCATACATAATATTTTACGTGTAATTTTCTTTAAATTCCCTGACGTACTTTTCCTCAAATCTTGCAGCAATTTTTGTTTGCGTGGCTCTCTTGGCTAGAAGTTTGCCATAAAGTTTAGCGAATTTGATTTTGGACTGCAAGAGAAAGCAGTTTTTTTTTTCGCTTCTTTCTTTTTCTAGTTGCAACTGCAACTGCCACACCAATACCAAGACCGGGAGACCAGACCAAGAGACCGGAGAGTGCGCTGCGCATGCGCAACTCTGTTAGAATGCAATTTTCTGTTTCGCTTCTCTTTCTCTCTATGTCTGTCTGTGTCTGTCGGTATGTCTGCGTGTGTGTATCTGTGTTTGAACTTTGAAAAGTGGGTGAATGTACAGTAATGTTTGCTGCATGCTCAAATGCAATGCTGCAAGCCACAAAAGCAGCAACAACAACAACAACAACAACAAAACGTGGCAAATTCGTGACGTTCTGTCAGGGCCAAAATGGGCAAAAGAAAATGCAAAGGGAGACCAGGCGCACAAGGGGAAATGATTTAGGGTTCTAGCTGATGGCATTTCTCGGCACCCAAAAAAGGTAATTGCATTTTTTACTGTTTGTGCAAGTAAATCAATAAAATACGTGCATTATTGTAATTGAAGGAAATGCAGTCAAATATCATTGGGAAATTTGAATTCCACATATTTGCAGCTGAAGACTAGAACTATAACTTGAATTAAGCTATTAAAATATCAATTAAGTATTCTTCGTTACGGAGGGTCAGGAAACTCACTTGCTGGCTTTTATAGAAAATAGATGAAGAATATTCGGTTTTAAAGAATCTCTAAAAATTATAAGCAAATTATAAAAAGCAAGGAAGGAAATTTCCTGAAGATTAAATTGAGTCGAATATACTACAAATATTAAATTCTTAGAGGGAACAAACAAATTTCTTGTACAATTCAGTGCATGCAAAATCAGCAATCAATGAAATTATTTCCATATCTTTGAGCTTTAGTTAAGCTGACCCACATTAAGAAGTCTCATTTCAGCAAGCGATAGTTGGATTTAGTTGGATGAAATATAATTCAGAGAATAAATTAAATTAAGCTTGTTTTTTACTACGAATAACGTAACAAATTGTAAGCGAATTTTAACTTAATTTTAATATAATAGGATAAGCCCCTTTATTTTGATTTACATATACATATGTAATATAATCATACATGTAGTATTTTTCCTGTATGAATTTATTTTATATAATATTTCTTTAGCCCCATTTTAGCGGGTGTTGCTTTTTGCTTTTGTTGTTTCTGTTGCTACTGCTGTTATTGCCGTGCGTTCCATCTGCTGTTGAAGGCCACGGTAATCTTGAACTGTTTTATAAATTGGCACACTTATGCAAAGTCAACGACTCGTCGCCGCCGCCTGCTTTCCTCTCTCTCTCTCTCTCTCTTTATCTGTCTCCGCCTGTCTCTCGTTGCCTCTTGGGGTTTTTCCCCTCTATCCACATCGCAGCACGAAGTGGCAGAAAAACAGTTAACTGACTTCGTCGCTCGTGGAGCTTCGTATGGATAGCCGAAAGCCCAGCTCAAGCAAGCTCTCCCCGTCTGTGTGTCTGTCGGTTTGTGTGTGTGTGTGTATGTATGGAGTTGCATAACTTTCATGCCATCGAGCAGCCAGCATGAACGAAGCGCCACAAAAGTTCATTCGCCTCGTGCACTCCATTCCATTTGGTCTTCCACTACCAATCCTCCTCCTCTTTGGACTCTGCCTCTACCATTGCCAGCACCAGCACTCTCCTCCTCCTCCACCACCGCTCTCCTTCTCGCTCTCTCGCATCAGTCTGGCTCTGACTGTGGCTCTCCTTCTCTTGGTTTTATTTTTATTCTTTTGCTGTCTTTCAGTTTGCTTTTCTCTTTTTTACAGAGCTGGGCTTTCGTTTGCTTTAGGAAAAAAGTTTTCTGTGTGTGTTTCTTGTTGTATTGTTGTCTTGTCTCTTGAAAAAGGAATGTTTGTGACGTTTTTGGGTGAATGTTGCTTTTGGGTGAGAAAGAGCGAGTGAGGCAGAGCAAAAGAGAGGCAGTGAAAGAGGAGTTTCGATGGAGAGGCTGGAGAGATGTCGTCGCCATCGTCGTCATCGTCGATCTGTGTGCAGCATTGTTAAAGGTCAGTTCTCTTACCTAACTTTGATTGCATTTCTGTCTTTCTATCTCCCTCCCTCCCTCTCTTGTTATTTTTTGTTGGTTTTCTGGGGGAGTTTTTTGTGTGTTGATGTTGGTCAATAGCGTTTTTGTTTTGTTTTTGTTTGGGCAAACAGTTAAAAGGGTTCGGTCCGTGAAAAATTAATAGTTAACCAAGGTAATAATATTCAAAAGGTGCTAAAGGTACACGGAAATTCTCAAGTGGCCATTAGAAGCAGTTGTAAGGAAATTGTTCAGCACATAGAAGAAACTGAGGTAATACATATGTATGTATGTAGAAATACATACATAAGTGGTTTTGGTGCACTCTCAAAAATATAAACAGAATTAGCCTTGGAATCAAATTTCGTATATTTTGCCTCTATTTCTTATTACACAAATCAATTAAGAGCAAACCAAAAGCTTTGAAAAACTATAGAGTCCAACTAGCTAACAATTATTTATAATTACCCTCAATATATCAATCCAAGTGCAAACCTTAACCCACAACCAGCCAATACACGCTGTCAGGCTATCACGCCCTCCAAATGGGTTAAAAAAATTAAAATAGATTACCGAACAAAAGGCATTCAACTCCATAGAAAATCTGGGGGAAATGTAATTCCAATGCATATGAGTAGTATGTTTTCATTATACTTACAATTACAATTTTAGTTAAAGCCCACACACAAATATGTACATATGTAGTTCCTATAGCCTGTCTCTCCAGTCCGCACCCGCTTCCCTTCTTATCACATATTAAAATGCACGCGAGAGCGATGCACACGAACAACTACAATGATGATGGCAAAAAGCTTTCAAATTGCCTAGAACAAAATCGAAACGAAAAAAAAAAACAAACTGCATGCGAGCAAGCCCACACAGAAAAGCTACAAAGGCAACAACAGCAAATGCAAATTGTGACGCCCCACTCACATGTGCTGCGATATAGAGAGACAGAGAGAGAGAGAAAGAGAGACAGCAGCCAGCAGCCAGCCCCCCCATGATGGCCGCGACATTCAACTTGAACTTTTTGCGCACTCGCTCGCGCTCGCTCGCTCTCTCACACATACAACACACACACAGCACAGAGCGGGAGTGCATAGAAAATAATCAAGATCAAGTTTCTTCCGGCATTTTGCACAACAACAACAACTGGAGCTTTGGCCAAACAGAAAGAGGAGAGAGAGAGAGAGAGAGAGCGCACTTTGTGCGAGTGCAAGAAAAAGAGAGCATCGCGTAAAAGAGAGCGCGCGCGCGCTCGCTTATTTAAGAGAGCTTTGCGTGCGAGTGTGTGACTGTGCTTTACAGCAAGTGCATTTTCTGTTGCTATCTCTTGCTACGTGTATGATGTCACTGCTGGCGCCGCTGCCGCTGCCGCTACCGCTTCCTCTGCCCTTGCCCACAAAAGGGTTAAAGCTTTGATTTCCTGCTCTTCGATCGATCAATGAGGTGCCATTATTAAGCTTAGAATTGTCTAATTGTCTTTGATTTAATAATTTTCTTAAGCTTTTCGTTCTATCTGATATTTTATAAATTCTTAATTTTCCTTAGCTTGCTTTAGTATAGATTTTTCTGTGGCATAGCTTTGCCTTCTCTTTGTTGAAATATTGCATTTTCTTTCCTTTTACTTGAGTCAATAATTTTGCTTTACATTTTTAAGCAGTTTTCCATTTCTGTCCAAAATCTAGCAGACTCATTTTCACTCGGGAAAGCGCTGCTATATGTGAAATTCTTGGAAAAGTCGAAAACACACTGGCAACAACTGCAACAACAACAACAGCGTCATCGTGGCAAGCATTGAACTCGATTTTGTTTTCATTGCCGCCTGAATTTCTAAAACGCAGCTAATTAGTCGAGAGTGTTGCCTCTGCCTCTGCCTCTACCGCTGCTGTTGCTGTTTGCTGCAGTCGCTGCCGTTGCACTTGCAACGTTGTTGCTGCTTCTTTAGCTGTGTTCCACTTTTCTGGCAGTTTTCCACTTTTCCCCCAGCCAGTGGTGCGACTGCTGCTGCTGCCTGCTGCCTGCTGCCTGCTGCCTGGTGCCTGCTGCAGATTTCACACGCGGCCAAGCAATTCATCATAAAAATTATTGTAAACTGCAGTCAATTGGCAACAGCGGCGGGAAGGGGAAGGAAGGGGCAAGGCAAGATGTTTGCTTAAAACCGAAATGAAAATAAGTTTTTCCAAGTCCAAGACCACGGCTCAGGCCGTAGACGCGTCCGCGGCCGCGCCTTGTGTGTGTTTGTTTAAATAAAATGAAAGTTTTTTTTTTTTGCTTTTGGCGAACGCGCTCGCCAATGTTTGACACACATAGAAGGCGGGCAGTCCATCAGTAAGTCAGTCCGTCAGTCAATCAGTTAGTCAGTCAGTCCGTCAGTCTATCTGTTAGTGGAACGTGGCAGCAGACTTTGTTTTAGTCAAAGACTTGCAACGGTCGTTGCCGTTTCGCTTTTGCTGTCTTTCCAGTGGTTTTTCTTTGCGCGGCATTATGATTTCATTTTCTAATCGAATTCGTCTTCGGTTTGATATCGTTTTCCAAGCAGATTTCATTCCGCGTTGGTCAACAAAGAAAAGCGAGTGCGCGATGCGATGCGAAATAAAATCACGCATACGCCGCGTATGACGAAAGTGAAATAGGCAAGGCGCGCGCCATAAAGCCGAGGCCCAAAACGAAGCCAAGCAAAATAGAAACAGGGAGAGACGAGAGCGAAAGGCCTACGCAGTGGGAAAGGTAAAGAAAAATGGAAAAAGAAAAAGAGAGGGAGAGGCAAGAGGGAGAGAGCGACGGCACAGCTAGAACGGTAGCGCTTCACTTTTTTTTTCGGCAGTTCAACAAACTTTGGGCACCAAAAGAAGAAGGGAACTTGGGTCAATAAACTACGAAAGCCGCCACCATGGAGATCGTTACACGACGATGATGATGACGATGGTGCTTAAGATGAGCCCAGTCTATTGTTTGGGGAATACGCATGTAAAGAAAGAGCAGAGAGGCGACGGCAAAGAAAATTGAATATAAAGTGCAGGCGGTGGATAATTATAAATTACATTTTTGAGAAAAATATGAAAATTACAGGGTAATTACTGTTAGCACAATAAAAAGTTAGATCCATTAAAATTGATATCTACAAGCATTAAATTACATATTTTGAAAATAAATTTTAAGTTTATTTATATTTAGTTCATTTTGAAATTCAAATTTTAGCCGCTCTATTGAGCTTACACGTAAACTCCAGCAGATGGCGCTCATGAGCATAAAAACCATCGATCAGAAGCATCGATAGTTTCCACACAAGAACTATCGATGCGCCTTCGCTGATATTTTGAAATCATTTTTAAAAATTCGTGCTATTTTTGTTATTTGTTATGAAATTAGATTGCTTTATTTTCAAAAGATATATATAAATATAAACAAATATTTAAAAAAAAAATTGGAGCGGCAAGTTTTGAGTTTTGGCTGAGGTTTGAACCTGTTTAAAGAAAAGGAAATTTTACGGCTTCTGGTGTATGGTTTAAATACATATCTGTATAAAAATATATAGCTAAAGCTCGATTTAGTATATGAATGCACATAAAGGCTATGCTATTGAAAAATAATAAAATCATAATTAATAATAAAAATACTTTTTATGCTGCTATATTTCGACAGAAATGTAGAAAAAAAGCCAGATTTGACGGGGGAAAAAAAAGTGGAATGTTGCTCGGCCACATGCTGGTAGAAATCAAGTGTTTGGAAGACTGTCCGGCGAGTCTGATACAAATTATTATCGTCGAAATTTAGAAATGATTATTATTTAAAATTACGGGTTTTATTTGGAATGAAGATTCATTTGATTTGTATGGGAAAAAATTCAGCATCATGTGGAAATGAAGAGGCAGCATTGTTGTGCAACTTTGTCACGGAATGAGCAACAATCTGCATTCCTTGGGAAAATGGATATTATGGACTTGAGATATTGTTTCTAATTTCAGGCTCCAATTAATGCAGAAACTACTCAGTCTCTGTTTTAAAGATATAAACGAAATTGTGCAGCTCACGGGTTCCAATAATAGGTATCGGAACCAGGATAAATGTACATATATATAAAACTCAAACATGTCAATCTAGTATAAAATCATAAATAATGTTTCAATGGAGCTTGGAACAAAACATTTAACATCAATTAAAAGAAATAAGGTATACAAAAGTACATACGCATAGAAGAAACTTGGTTGACCAGCAACACTGACGTCACATTTACTCAACATTTCCGTTTTATGCTTTGGCCGTTTTTGTTTGAACCCTTTTATCTAAACAATCCCATTAAAAATAGTTCTAAAAACTAGCCGATCCTGAACAAAATTTATGTATCTATCGGATAAAATTATTTGTTTAGGGCTGAGAGGGCCAACTATCTAGTAATATTAAACGGAATATCAAAATTGACGAATTTCATATCAGAAAATATCATGGTATGGCAGCCCGCAGCAACTACGAATTGTACGAGTCTGGCAACGCCACAAAAACGTATCAAAATATCGATACTATCGATAGTGGCTCACAATTAAACACAGAAATGAGCGAGCGTTTTGAGTGCTCTCTTTCAACTGGGTCATGGCAAGGTATGGCCCCAGTATTAAGACGGCCAAACATTTTTTAAGGGCCTCGTAAGGACCTCACCCTAACCCCGACGGAATAAACATACCATGTTTGTGTGACAGCACAAAATCCCGCACGGTGAGTTATGTGGTGAGGTGGGTATTTTTCTTGAAAGCTCTGAATTTTGTGACGTCATACGTCACACCTCATACCCTTATCCTTGCGGCGCAATCAAAAGTTCAACTTCAAGTCGAACGTCGTGTAATTACCCGCGAAATTACAAATAATGCGAATGCGAGTAAACAGTTTATTCAGATGATTAGTTATACGGCGATGTTATGTTTATACCATAATTTTATGACGTACTCTCCAGGAGGTCCCAATTCAATCTCCAACAAGATGATAGGCCCGTACAATCAAAGTCATTCCCATCCCAAAGAGGGGTAAGGATCTCCATATCTATCAAAACTATCGACCTATCTCCCTCATCTCGGTATTGGCTAAAACTCTCAATCAAGAGAGTCAAGTCAAGAGTCGCCTAGATATGTTCTTAGAAAAACGTAACACCATGCCCAGACGATCTTATGCCTACCAAAAGGGTAAATCAGCAGCCATGTGCATAAATGATCTCATCAATACCATGGCCTGTGAGAAGAAAAGAGGAAAATTCGTTGCAATTGTAGTAGTAGACATTGATAATGCATAATGCATGTAACTGCGTTAATCTTCAAACTCTACAAATGCTAATGGATTATGAACACATTCCCACGCAATATACTGACTGGATTGTCAATTTCTTTTCGTTTAGATTCCTAAAACTGGGTAACTTCAGTAAAGAAATTAATGGTGGGTTACCTCAAGGCTCCTGTTTGTCACCTCTACTTTTCAATCTGTACGACAAAAGACTGCATCAAATCAATGATTCACATACGTCCATTATTCAATTTGCTGATGACTTTGCCATCATCTCAACAGGCAACAACATAAATGATGCTAGCAAAAACGTACAGGTAAAGATCAACGACTTTCACCTTCTCTGTCAAGATCTAGGCCTTAATTTCAACCCCAGCAAATGCTCAGATATGTTTTCGACAATTATAATGAAGCCAAGAAGTACAAACATAGTCCCAAAGCCTTAATTTGTCTGTCAGTCTTTGACAGAAGAAAACCTGACATCTCAAACAGAGAATGCAATGCGATATATCAAGCTAAGCTTGAAGAATGGGTGTCAGGTGGATGGAACATTCTTTCCACTGATGCATCCATCAATGGTGATAAGACAGGCATAGGTATCTTAGATTACCCTAGTAACTTTAGCTATATGATTAGGACTGAAAATAGTTTCTCATCTGTGTTTGCAGAGCTTGTAGGTATATTAACGGCACTTAAGATATCAAATATAAAAAGATACAGTAAAACTGTAATTCTCTGCGATAGTCAAGGCGCCTTAAAGGCTCTGAAGAGAAATCGAAATCAATCAAATTCATACTTAACAGACGAAATCCACCTCAACATGGACAATTCCTTCACGAGCAACTTTATTGTGCACTGGATACCCGGTCACAAGAACATTGCCATTAATGAAAGGACTGATATACTAGCCAAATCAGCCACTAATGTAGGCAAACTATTTAATTTACCCCTAACATTCGATGAAGTAATAAGAAAAGTTAAAATATTGGAACAATGAGTACAAGGAAATATCAAAAATGAAAGGAATTTATTTATTTTATTTTATTTATTTTGCGTCAATTTACAATGAAATTCCAGTCAAACCATGGCACTGGGCTCTCGACTGGAGTGCAAAAAACATAAAGGTCATAAATAGACTGTTAATTAATCGAACCTATGATAACGTTTTTTTACACAAAATCAAAGCCAGAAACACCAACATTTGCGAAGTTTGCAACGTTCTCAACAATGCGGAACATGAAATCTTCTCCTGCCAACGACATGCTATTATCAGGAAAAAATATCAAATTTTACATCGCTTTAAAGATCTTAAGGAGCTATTGCTCACAAAGGAGCCTCTTTTTTTTAGAGAATTGGCCAAATTTATTAATGAGGCTAATTTGGAGTTGTGAATCAAAAAACACTGGATTTTATTCAGGTCGGGTTAACCTTGAGGAGCAACCTTCTGTTGTTCCTACTTTCTGAGACAAACTTCTGTTGCCTTACACACCTACACCTACACATACACATCAATCCATTTCACTACTATATATTTTGTGCAACTCTTACACACGACCACACTTTATACTAAGCATCATATCGTTTAAATTATAAGAATATACCAATGCAACACCATGCATGGTGTCATTAACAACCATCGATAGACAAGAAAATATCGACAGCCCCATCAGTGCGGACTCATCGTCGTGCGACCATTCCAATTTCACGGCAGCGATTAAATACCAAAAAAAAAAACACAAACAAAAAACAAACAAAATAAAAATTAAACACAAAATGAGCTCGCCAACAAGTAAAAATGCCAGCGAAACGAACGGGAACAAGCCGAAAAAGTCGGGCAAAACGAATTCCAACGCAAAGGGCGGCACACTGGACTCGCGCGGGGAATTGGCGGACCTCATAAAAAAGAAGGCTGAAACTTCGGTGAGACACGCACTGGCACGAGTTATACACAAATAATTATAGCAATCTTGTGACCCCACAGGAGCAACTGGCCAATCTGGAGCGCCAGATATATGCCTTCGAGGGCTCCTATCTGGAGGACACGCAACTGTGCGGCAACATAATACGCGGCTGGGAACGCTACCTCACCTCCAACAAAGCCACCAACTCGAAGGCCGACAAGCGCAATCGCAAATTCAAGGAAGCGGAACGCCTGTTCTCCAAGTCCAGCATCACCTCAATGGCTATATGTAATCGTAAGTGGAGAACGGCTGTAGGTAACCACCATATTCTATGTATCTTTTTTTGTATCTGGCAGCGGAGCGTGCCAGCGAATCGGACTCCATAACGAATGAGGACTCCAGCGACAATCAGATCTCAATGAACCAGCACACCACAACTGCCCATGACGGGGCAACGACAATCAAGAGCACACCAAAAGATGAAAAGGGTAAGGTCGAGATGCCGTCAGATCCAGATGAGTTGGATGTGGTGACTCCTTTAAACATAAGATTTTACTAAGAAGTGTTTAACACAAAATTAGTTTGTAATTAACCCCAAAAGAGAATGTATGTATGGCTAGGATATCCCGAAAAGTGCGCCCATTAATGTCTCGCACTTTTATTCGGCACAGATTCACCCTCGCATCGCAACGAGGGAAGCCTGTCTGCCAGCGGAGGAGGAGGAGGAGGCGGTGGCGGCGGCGGTACGGGTAGCAGCGGTTCCGGAGGAACCAACAAAGACGTACTGGGTACACCCACTTCCACGACAAAAAGCAAACTGACATCCAGCTCGAGTGCAACGGCGAAGAAGAGCGGACACATAAACAAGAAGATACGCCATCGATGATAAGGATGGACCACACAAACGGACAGTTAACAAGCAAAACAAATCACTCAATGAGTTCAAACAATTTGAAATTACTTATTAATTACAATTAATTAATAAACGAAATGTAGAATTAAACTAGATTTTCATTTCAATTCATTTGCTGCTTTGCAATTTATGATATTCTTGCAGATACCAAACAGGATCGAGACTTAACTTTATTGAAGGGTACACAAAGTGCCATACTCCCCAAAGTTAGCCAATATTGCAGAAAATCGATTCATCTCTCTGATAAAATTATATTTTCACTTGTTTAAGTCCTAACTAGCTAGTAAAACTAAATCGAATATCAAATTTGATGAATATGATTTTCCTCGGTATATTTACGGTATATATTTAAAATGAGACGGTATATTTCGGTATATTTCTGAGGGTCTTATCGATAAGTCCGCGGTCACACTGGTTCTAGTTTTTTTCTGTCGGCAAAAATTATTATTTAAAAAAACATATTTGACATCATATCCTGTTGGGGGAACTCAACGACACCTGGCACAGGAACAGGCTCCTGCTGAACAAACCCTTCAACGTCGACAAACACACGCACGCACCTCTCGCCAGCATGGGAACAACGGTGGCACAACACCAGCAGCAGCAGCAGCTACGGTTCCGTGCAATTTGTTTATGTCTGCTCGTCGTCGGCAGCTGCTACGTGTCGCAGTCGCAAGCTGACGAGCACAATCACAAGGTGAGTTTGCCCGCACCCGGGCGAACGAACTGCAGACCAAGTTTCATTCTGCATTGCTCAATCCAATTACCATTACCATTCCAGTACAATGACAGAGAGGAGGTGGTCCTGTGGATGAACACGGTGGGGCCGTACCACAATCGACAGGAGACATATGCCTACTTTTCGCTGCCCTTCTGCAGCGGCGGAAAGTCGTCCATCTCGCACTACCACGAGACGCTGAGCGAGGCTCTGCAGGGCGTGGAGCTGGAGTTCAGTGGCTACGAGATGGACTTCAAGACGGACGTGCAGCGTTCGACCATTTGTATGGTGACGCTGGCCGACGAGAGCGTCAAGGCCTTCACGTATGCGGTGATGAACGAGTACTGGTACCAGATGTACATCGATGGCCTGCCCATCTGGGGCAAGGTGGGCGAGCGCGACGAGCGCGATGGCAAGTACTACATCTTCACGCACAAACGCTTCGACATTGGCTACAATGGACAGCAGATTGTGGACATTACGCTGACGACGGATGGGCGGGAGGAACTGAAGCCAGGGGCACAGATCAATTTCTCGTATGAGGTCAACTGGAAGCCCGCCAAGGTGGAGTTCAAGAACCGCTTCGACAAGTATCTAGATCCGAACTTCTTCCAGCACAGAGTGAGAGAGACATAAATGACATCATCCATGCTGACCCTGATGCTGTATTTATGCGTTCATTTCTTACAGATCCATTGGTTCAGCATTTTCAACAGCTTCATGATGGTCATCTTCCTGGTGGGGCTCGTGTCCATGATTCTGATGCGCACTCTGCGCAAGGATTATGCCCGCTACAGCAAGGATGAGGAGGTGGACGATATGGAGCGCGATCTGGGCGATGAGTACGGTTGGAAACAGGTCCATGGCGATGTCTTCCGCTCCCCACCCCACACGCTGCTCTTCTCAGCTTTGGTCGGCGCCGGCTATCAGCTCATCTCTGTTGTGTTTTGCGTCATAATGTTTGCCATTGTCGGCGAACTGTACACGGAGCGCGGCTCCATGCTGTCCACGGCGATATTTGTGTATGCAGCGACCTCGCCCATCAACGGATACTTTGGCGGATCGCTGTATGCGCGCCTGGGTGGACGCCTTTGGATCAGACAGATGCTGGCCTCGGCCTTCACAGTGCCCGTGGCTGTTTGCGGTACGGCTTTCCTCATCAATTTCATTGCCATTGGCTACCATGCGTCGCGTGCCATTCCCTTTGGCACCATGGTGGCCGTCACGTGCATTTGCCTGTTTGTTATCCTGCCGCTGACCCTCGTGGGCACAGTGGTGGGCCGCAATCTGGATGGCCAGCCCGATTTCCCCTGTCGCGTGAATGCAGTGCCGCGACCCATACCCGAAAAGAAGTGGTACATGGAGCCGCTGATCATTGTGCTGCTGGGTGGAGTGCTGCCATTTGGCTCCATATTTATTGAGATGTAAGAAGAAGCTGAAGCCTTCGGAATATCCCAGAGACATTCTCTAATCGTGTATATTTGCATCCCCTTTTCAGGTACTTCATCTTCACCTCATTTTGGGCATACAAAATCTACTATGTCTATGGATTTATGCTGCTGGTGTTCACCATCCTGACGATTGTTACGGTTTGTGTGACGATTGTGTGCACGTACTTTCTGCTCAACGCGGAGGACTATCGATGGCAGTGGACGAGTTTCATGGCGGCGGGATCCACCTCCATTTACGTTTATGCCTACTCATTTTACTATTTCTTCTTTAAAACCAAGTGAGTGGAGTCTCTACTCTTTATGCATTGATTGATTGACTAATCCTTTTGTGTGTGTGTGTGTTTTCCAGAATGTTTGGCCTGTTCCAAACGGCCTTTTACTTTGGCTACATGGCCCTGTTTAGTGGCGCCTTGGGCATCATTTGTGGCACCGTCGGCTATGTGGGCACGAATCTGTTTGTGCGCAAAATTTATTCCAATGTGAAAATAGACTAGGATGAAGGAGATCCGTTGAACCGCTCTACACTAACTACACCTACACCGCCCCTCCCCCACTCAGATCTGTATATCATCGGAAACAGTCTACTATTGTATTTATTTAGTAGAGTTTTAGTTAACAATATTCTGTGCGTGTTTTCTCTTGCTCCAATTGCCCTCCTACGCACGCTGTGTTGTGGTGGTCTGCTGCCCCCGTTTATTACCTACTTTCTGTTTCTCAGAGATCACTTCTCATGTTGGTGTGAAAATGAATGCCAGTCCAATGTATTCGCACCAAAGATTAAATATTCAATTGCATCTATGCATAGGCATGGCACAGTGCAGTGCGTTTCGTAACAGTCGGAGGGAGATAATTAAGTGTCAAATCAGTTGTAAATTAAGAGTGGCATTTAATAATGTTTTCATTAAATTGTTGGCAATTAATTTGGATCGAATCAATGCGTTAAACGAACTAATTTATAAATGTGTACAGCTCTTTTCTTTTATCCACTAATTTTCTCTCCAAAATACTTAATTATGTAACTCTAAATTTTCTACACTTAAATTATGCTCCAAATTCAAAGTATTTGTTGCTCTACAAATTGTTTAAAAAGAAAAAAAAAACCCTCCAACTTTAATTGCGTGCTGTGGCCATGTCTGTGCTATGGATATACCCATACATACATAGGTATGTATATTATTTAAATTGTATGCCTAGAAAAACTTATCAAATCTATGCAATTGCAAAACAAAATGTGACTTGAACTTGTTTGCGCCAATTAAGTTTATGTACGATGCAGAAGAAAATGTGCTGATTAGCGATAGTCGATAATCTAATAAATAATACAAATAAATTCAACATGAAGAAAGCCAATCAAAACCCGCTGCATTCTGCTCCCAGATCGTTCCTAATCAGCTCTCATTTCATTGACCCTCAAATGCTTGTTGTTGTGGAATTTGCTCTCAAAACATTGCCCATTATTTATTATTCTTTATTAGTTGCTCCTCAAGCGACAATTTCTTCTTATTTTCTTTGCTTTTGTTGGAATTGAATTTGCGGGGAGGCAGCCTTTTGGATTATTCCATGACAGCGCAATTGATAACGTTTTTATATTTATTTGTTGGCTTATTCGATAGTGTTTTGGGCAGACATTAACCTTGGCTATTAAGTATAGAGTTAATCTGCAGTGTGGTGTGGATTATACTCGAACAATAGTTGGAGTTCCCTTTGTCTGTGGCACAGCCACACCTGATAGTTTCTATGGGTATTCAATGCCTCTATCTATCTGATCTGTGCCTGTCGTCGGTCTTTACCCCTTCGCTCTTATCAAAAAGCGCCGTCAAGGGGCCCAATGTCGTCGCACGGCGACTCCCTGGAAGTCTCCACTCAAATGGAGTGGAGTGGTACGAGTGTGGCACTAATGACGCGTGTTTTTACATTCTCAATGGCATTTTGTCTAGTCAATGGAATGCTCCGATATGTAGCAGAACCTTTTTCATTTCCAGCCGAACAAGAACCAAATTTTTTGGTTTGCTGATTTATGCTAATTTTGATAAAAACTATAACGGCGCTTGCTGGAATTTTCATGAAAGTGTTTGAAGTAGAAAAAGAAAACTCATTGACTGAAGGGTTTAATGTGACACCATGCCCAAGCCCAAGCCCAAGCCAAGACCCAACTCTACCCACATAAATGGTTTGATTTAAACAAATTTTACGACTTGATTGACATTTGATGCACTCTTGATGGTTGTAAGCACCGGAATAAGAACCCTGCTGACCCAGTTTATGAGCCCAAAAAGGTGGTTGGGGTCTCTCTTTCTACCTTGTTGCATAAATTATGTGTTATAAATGTCAGAACCGATTGGGATGTTGATAGCGTTTTTCCATATTTGATCTGCGGCCCATTTCCCTTTCGATACTGTTAGGGGCCACGAAAGTGATGCGGGAAAATATATTTCCCCATTTTATTTAAATATTTAAATGCTTCTCCATGGCCAGCCTCTTTGGCGGTCTTCATCGTATAAAAGCCCTTGCCCAAAACTTTTCTCTATTCAGTCACTAACGAAACGATATCATGAGATCTTCTGACCTCTTGGCTGTTCTTCTTTTGGGTGAGTTTTACACTGGGGCCGTGGGGCACCATCCGTACTTTATTTTACTAAAAAAAAACTCTTTAATTTTTCAGGCATTTTCATTTGCTCAAGGGTTCAAGCTTCGCTGGTGAAATGCTCTTGTGATCCTGGTCCAGCTGGTGAGCGAGGACCCCCAGGACCTCCTGGACCGCCTGGAGTAGGTTTTGGCAGCGACGGCGGCGGCGGCCTTGGTGGCGGTGGTGGCCTTGGTGGTGGCGGTCATGGTGGCCTTGGTGGCGGTTATTGGCCCTATCCACCGACGCCTCCATTCACGCCGAATCTGCCGATCATCCCGGGACCGAGAGGCCTGCCTGGACCCCCTGGCCCACCTGGATACTGCTTCCCGTGTCCGGCAGTGCCGCCACGACCCTTCAGGGATTTCCCTCCTCCCCAGGGAGTGCCCGTATCACCATTCTTGTCCACTCAGGTGGGAGGAGGAAATGCCGCCTCTGCTTTGACCTCTGCCGTGGGCAACATCATAGTGATTCCCTCGGGTGCGTCAACGGGATTGTCGGGACGTGCCCAGTTCTACCACATCTCGCCCGATGGCCAGGTGCTGCGTATCGATCCCCCCAAGGATGTTCCCAATGAACTCTTTGATTCCCTGGGTGCTTCAACTACCAATCCAGGGCAGCCACAGCCACAGCCGCCGCCACAGCCCACGTCGGCCTCCTTGTCGGCGATAACGCCACCGCCCACACAGCCCACGACAGGGGAGCAACAGCAGCAGCAGCAACAGCAGCAGCAGACCACCATAACACCCGACGCTCTGGACGAGACCGTGTTCGCGGTGACGGGCAATCGAGGCAAGGACTTCCTGCGCGGCAACTCCGAGGCCAGCGACTGGCGGCGGATCCTTCTGCTGGGCGAACGACCCACCGCGGCACCGCAGCAGCAGCATCCCAACCAGCTGGGCAGCAGCATGGAGAGCTTCCAGCGGGCTCTGGTCGAGCTGAAGGAGAAGTATGCCACGCTCATCCAGCCAAGGAGCGGCAATCGATACGCGGTTATACTCTGATACAAAGGGAGCTCCTCTTAAATAAGTTAAATAAAGCAAAAACAGTACTGATAATATCTTAAAAGCGAATGGCTGCTTCTATTTATAATTTGCTGTGCTCGGAACTGCGTTTTTACACACTCCACACCCAACCCACACTCTTGGAAATCAAAGCAGCAAATTGAATTTCTTGGTAATAATACGATAAGATCCGAGAGCGGACTTACTCCCCCATCAGGCATTAGATACGACTCCCAGCAGAAAAAAAAGTCGCAAATTGGATTTTCCCAGAAACGATTGGCCTTCAAAATAGGCAGATACTCGTAGATTGTGAATTTATTTAGGCACAATATATTTTATATTGCCACATGATTCGCTGACTCTTGTCACTTGGTTTTTTTTTTTTTTGAGATTTTGATGCCTATCAAACGTCCAGCTAGGCGGGCATTGGACAGCAGACTTCTCGCTTTCTGCTCTTTGTCGTCATCGGATGCAGTTCACAGAATTTTCGAGTTACATTTCTTAGTATAGATAAGCTTGTCACAGATCAGAACATATCTTTTTCGTGCGTACGATTAATGATAGGAAATCAGTTGGGCTAAAAGAAAATATTCAAGTGATCATGTGACGCTATGGGTTTTATATGTCAGAGATTAAGAGATCTGCGCTCCTCTTTCTTCAATCACTCTTGCTGCTATTCCCCTTTTTCTTCCTCTTTCTGCTAAGTATCTTCTATCTTGATACTGCAGATTGCCCTGAAGTACAGCGCACTCTTTCTTCTATCCGCCCTAAGGTACAGCTTTCTACGTCATTAAAGCACTGGTCGGCACGCACACATTCACATATTTTGCAGTGCATTTGTGGCAAAAGGGGACTTTACATTGCTTCCAGCCACTGTAATACACTAAACCTCTACAGATATGACCGTGTCGAGCCCTGCATTAAATGAATTTCATCATAATGTCAAAGATTACTAAAGCCACTTGCGTGACTCGCAAAGATCTCCAGCTGTAGTGTGAAATACACCCTGACGTACAGTGGATTAGTATATGGTATCCCATAGTTAAAACCCTCGACGTCATTAAAGTTCCTCAACGTCATGCGAAAATCTTAAAAAAGCGACAAAAAAAAGATAAGTAAATCCGATTATATGGTTTACAGTATTGGTATGTATGTATATAGGTATGGTATTTATTGATTGGAAATAACGTCTTATATTATGTACAAGTAATCCCCAATCTAATTTCGTTTCTTGAGCACCTTTTGAGCGGGGCGGGTCGGTGCGGGGCGGGGCGTTAGTCGCCTGTCAATCTTTTGAGTATTCATTGAGGATGATAAAGCGGACGTGAGGATCGTCAAGTGGGCAAAACCTTAATTAAGAGTCCTTCTGGCTGTCAATCAGTCAGTCGCAGGCGGTGAGACCATCGCCGACGCAGGCGGCAAAGGCCATCATGTGGGGAATGGCATTCTGCTCGTAGACACCAGTGAAGAGATGGGCCCACGGACCGGATGCAAACACGCCCACATCCTCGCCGCCGTGCGTCTCCGACTCGAGGGGCACCATGGCGGGGAAGAGCTGCTCAAAGTCGCCGGTGGCCACGCTGACGGGATCCTCGCGCTGATTCGTCTCCGTGTTGTAGTACATCTCGAAGCTCTTGCCATTGGCATAGCTGAGTGGCAGGTAGGGTTTGTTGTCCAGCCCGTTCGTCTTGGCCGCTCCAAAGATGTCGCTGCCCCGCGGCTGATAGCCGGCCACGCTGAAGGTGTGCGAGTGATCGGAGGTGACCACAATGAGGGTGTCCTCCGGGTTGGTCAGCTCCCGCGCCTTCCGCACAGCCTTCGACAGCTCGGCGGTCTCGTCCAGCGCTATGCGGGCCATGGTATCGTGATGGCTGATGTCAATCTTGCCGCCCTCCACAAACAGGAAGTAGCCCTGCTCCTCGGTCGCCAGCACTTCGATGGCCTTCTCGGTCATCTCCTCGAGGGTGGGCTCGTTGTTCTCCGGATCGGCCAGCTGCTCCACGTGATAGTGCATGTGGCCGCTGCTGAAGAGGCCCAGCAGGCGACCCGTCTCCGTGGCATTCACCTTCAGCAGCTTCTTCTGCGTCTTCACGAAGGTGTTGCCGGGCTGCAGTCCCTCGAATTCCTCCACCAGATTGCGTCCATCGGTGCGACGTCCCTTGTCGTAGAACTCGGGATCATAGAAGTTCCGCTTGCCGCCGCCGAGCATCACCTTGAGCCGGCTGCCCACCTCGCCGTAGATCAGCTGCTCGGCAATGTCCTGCAGTCGCGCGGCCTGCTCGCCGCAGCCCTCCTCCAGCAGGGCATTGTTCTCCCACTCGCGATCCGCCGTGTGGGCATAGACGCCCGAGGGCGAGGCATGGGTGACGCGTGTGGTGGTCACCAGTCCGGCCGCCTTGCCGCCATCCATCGCCCACTTGCCCAGCGAGAAGACATGATTGCTGGCATTGGCCATCGCCTGGCAGTCGCCGCGCAGCACATGCGCATTCACGCCGATGGTGCCGTAGTTGGCCTTCACGCCGCACAGATAGGAGGTCGAGGTGCAGGCACTGTCCGGCACTATCTTGTCCACGGAGTAGGTCTTCGAGAGTCCCGTGAAGGGGAACTCCTCGAAGGAGAGCTTCTGCTCCTCGCCGCCAATGTAGCTGCGGGCAGCAGCCAGCGTGGCCAGTCCCATGCCGTCGCCCAGGAACAGTATGATGTTCTTGGCCCGATTCGTGTTCCGCACTTGGCTCAGCTTTTCACGCAGCAGCTGCTTGCTGGCCGCGTGCCAATACGCCTGCGTCTCCTCGCCACTGATCGTCCGGGAGCGGATGCTCCGTGCCAGATGCGGATGCATGGACTCCTCCTCATCCACGGGCGCCTTGTGCGGCACCGCTGCACCCAGGGCCAGGCAGATCATCAGGCCCAGGCCCACAAAGAACTTCAGTGTCAGCGTTAGAGTCATTTCCGCTCTCTCTCTCTCTCTGGCGTTTTGCGTTGCTTTCACCGCGTTAGCCAAGTGAATACTGTACTTTTTCAGCACATAACAGGCCGCTATATAGCCCCCGATCCGGATCATGTGCAGCTCGTGTGAGGTGGCCAGTTGGCAGAATTTATGGGGCCCCTCCTTCGGCCAGACCGTGATACTCACGTTTCCACTAGCCACTCGAGATAATCATTAATCGATGGCCACTTTAGATTCCACAAATCACAAAAACACAATCATATAACACATCGTAAACGAGTGTGTAGCCGGACAGGAACAAAGGGTGCAAAATCGGAGGCTATATAACCGATTCGTTTCGTCTAATTTGGACAGTCGTACGGCAACCGTCTGAAGATGCAGCAAACTTTTGTGCTCCACATTTTGTGCTCACTGCTGGCGCTTCTAGTGCTGGTCTCCGCCGCAGCGCAGCGCCCCAAAGTGAGGGCGGGCCTAACCGAGGAGCAGGAGAATGGTAAGTGGCATCCGTTCGGTAAATGTTACGAATCGAAAGCGTTCGTCTAGCGTTCGTTAAGACCCCCAAAAACTTATCTACAACCAATCGAAATTCGCGTAACCCCGACGATTCTTTAACTGAAATCTTGTTCGCCCATTAGCCTGGGAATCTAATCGGCCAATCTATTTTCGAGTAACATTCGACATAAATAATTTAACAAGTTAATTATTTCATAATGGCAAGAATCAAGTACGTTACAAATGTAACGAGCGGGAAATCTTCAAACTGAACGATGGGCTCATAAATTAATACCAAATCGGAAGGTTATATAACGTACAGATATGAATGCCAAGGAGTTGCCAAGTGCCAACTGAAAAACTCATTAGTTAGCAAAGAGCTTAATAATCGTGACGAAACAAAATAGAGTTAAAGAGTCTGGGGAATAAATAGATAAGCTTTGGAGGGATTAGATCTGTTTGGCTTGTTTAAGGAGATTCCAGAAATTCAATATACGTCTAGGCTCTTTGTGTAAAGGGATTTAAAAACAGTGAGAAATCGGTTGGAGCTGGGTATGACAGGATAGAGTTTCAAATTAGAGCCATGCATGAACGTGCCCGTTCGAATCGATTCGGATTCAGTTCGAATTTTTTTTCTCTCTCACTCTCTTTACTTGATTTTCCAGTGGAGAGAACACAGATGATTTGTTGGTTTTTTGCTAAAAATGTTTAGTTGTGTGAGTGTGCGTTACTTTACACTGAAACAAAAATTTCTTTCAGATTTAACAAGGGACATTTTTGCGCCAAATATAAGCATCATTAACGTTAAACATTTTTATTAGTGCAAAAAAATAGCCGAGTGTGCATAGCCGAAGGCACACAAAATCCGAACTATGTTTTCGGGACATGCAGTGCTCGGATTCGAAGTGATTCGAATCTGACTGAAGGCAGGATTCGTAATGATCGAACGCAGTGAATGAGCATGTGGATTCATGCAGGAATCGAATTCAAATGCTGTCACTACTTCGAGTTCTGTAGGAAAAAAGGGTTAGGCGCAAATACTCGCTATCATATTTCTCTTTGATGTCCAGGATTAGATCATTATTGAATCGAAAACAGAAATGCAGAATGATAAAGTCATTGAATATTTATGAACGAACCTTAATTATGATTGATTATCCAACGATTAGATATTTTTGTTAATACAAAGTTCAATCATATTTTGTTTTGCTGGTTGATTATAAAAATAGACCAACATCCGAGACTGCTGCCATCACGCGACTTTGTGGCACTTGACGAGGAGCTGGAAACACGTTTCTGGCACGATAAGGCCCAGACCATACTGGCCGATAAGCTGGCCACCCATAAACAGTTGAACGAGAACCGTGCCAAGAATGTGATTATGTTCCTGGGCGACGGCATGTCGGTGCACACGATTGCGGCCACACGTGCCTTCCTCGGGGATAGCAACAAGCAGGTGTACTTCGAGAAGTTCCCCTACCTGGGCCTCTCCAAGACATATGCCGTGAACGAGCGCACCCCAGACTCGGCCACCACGGCCACGGCCTACCTGTCCGGCGTCAAGGCCAACTACGGCACCATTGGCGTCAATGCCCAGGTGGAGCGAGCCGATTGTCTGCATGGCGCCGATGCCAGCACACACACCCAGAGCATTGCCCAGTGGGCCCAGGAGGCGGGCAAGTGGGCGGGACTGGTGACCACGGCACGCGTCACGCATGCCTCCCCGGCTGGCGTCTACGCGCACACCGCAGAGCGCAACTGGGAGCACGACGGTCTGATCACCGATTCTGGCTGCAGCACCGAGCTGAACACGGACATTGCCCGCCAGCTGGTGGAGTGGAACGTGGGCCGGGATCTGCGTGTGATCATGGGCGGCGGTCGATCCTATTTCCGGGATCAGATGATGCACGACGAGGAGGGCAATTGGGGACTGCGCAACGATGGTCGGGATCTGATCAAGGACTGGCAGGAGGACAAGGCCAATCTCGGCGCCAAGGGCAAGTATGTGTGGTCGCTGAAGGGCCTCCAGGAGACGGATCTCAATCAGACGGACTATCTGCTGGGTCTCTTCGATGCCTCCCATCTGCCCTACCATGGCGATCGGCAGCGCTCGCACTTGGAGTACGCGGAGCCCTCGCTCTCCGACATGACGGAGTCGGCCATCAAGCTGCTGAGTCGCAACGATCAGGGCTACTTCCTGTTCGTGGAGAGCGGCCGCATCGATATGGCCCACCATGCCACGCTGGCCCACAAGGCGCTGGAGGAAACCGAGCAGTTTGCTGCGGCCGTGAAGCTGGCCAGGGATCTAACCGACGAGGAGGACACTCTGATTGTGGTCACATCGGATCACTCGCACACCATGTCCATCAATGGCTATCCCGTAAGCTCACAGTTCAGACTTTAATCAGCCAATTAATGCTATAACCAGTCCTTCCTGTCGCACCCTTCCTTCTCCTTTAGTATCGCCGCCAGAACATCTTTTCGTTGGCACCCAATGTAGCGGATGACGAGCTGCCCTTCACCATTCTCTCGTATGCCAATGGCCCTGGCAACACAGAGAACACCTACAGCAATGCCGCGGGACGCCTGGATCTCTCCCATGTGGACACAACGGCGCCGGAATTCCGCTTCCAGGCCACAGTGCCGCTGACCAGCGAGACCCATGGCGCCGAGGATGTGGGCGTCTTTGCCTCTGGCCCCTTCGAGCACCTGTTCACTGGCAACTACGAGCAGAGCAGCATTCCAGCCATGATGGCATTTGCCGCCAACATGGGTCCCTTTTCCGAGGATAAACTCAATGAGTAATTGCAAAATAAAGTCTGATTATAGAAAGCAAAAGCAAAATAAATATAAATAAATCTTAGTTTAAAAAGCGTCCAAATAGGAGTAAGGAATATAAATAAATAATTAATGGCAATGTTTCTGCGAGTATTCATGGCTTAAAACTATAGTAAATGGAAACTTGTCCAGTGCTTCTGGCTAGCGCATTTTCAGCTGATTTGTAAGCCTTCATGATCCATAAGTAATACGAGGGCTGTCCCGTCCCAGAAATAGCCAACCTAACATAGCAATGTTCACAGCAAATATTAAAAAGCGGAAGTACCGACTATTAAAAGCTTAAGTTCGAAGTTTAGTGCCTTTACCTTGCGCAGTTTTTTGTAGAGAAGGCTCTAAATTGATTTGCAAACATGGACAAAATTCGTCAGCGTTGTTATGCGATTGAATACTTTCATTGGAAAGGTGTTAGTTCAACCCAAAATTAAAGACGAGCTGGATTCTACCTTAGGTGATTCTGCTCCTTCGTTTACAACCAGATGGGTGCCGCGACAACTGCAGACATTTTCAGTTTCCATTGCGAAAATCCATGAATTACGAGGCTACGAATGGCGCCCTCACCAGCCCTATTCTATGGATGTAGCACATAGTGACTGTTTCTTGTTGCCAAGCCTAAATAAATAGCTCGGCGGTAAGAGATTTCAGTCCAATGATCAAGTCATCTTACAAAAAACAAATTCTAATTTTTGGAAAGGATACCAAAATGAGAAAAATGTTGGAAAAAGTATAGAGAGCTACATTAAAAAAATAAAAACAATAATTAAAAAAAAAAGAATTGTGTTTTTGTGGTTTATTTGGGCTGGTTTCTCGACTATTTCTCGGACAGCCCTTGTAGCTGTAATAAATATATACATACATATATGCGTATATAAACCACATGTACCGCTCTCTCTCTCTCTTATCAGTCTTTCCTTCACGATTATTCATGTTCCAATTCCCTTCGAAGGGAAAAACAAACCCTGCTACAGGTAGCACTCGGACTTAAGGTTCCAGGTATGCCCAGAAAATTCCAAAAGCCTCTGGCAGGACCCTCCCTAGCATAGCTTACCTGTTGATTCGATTGGCTTGGCCAGCAGCAGTCGCTGTTTATACCCCGAACCGGCAGGAACTACGCGAAAATGTTTTCTGTCTATTCGATTTTGGGCATTTTATTGGCCACCATAGTCGCGTCCTACACTCGCATTCTATACAAATGCCTGAGACGCGTGCGTGTACCCATAAGGAGTGGCAAATCTGCAGCGGAAAACGGCAGCGTGCAAATATTTAAGCAGGCGCCCGGGCCCAGGCCCTGGCCCATCATTGGCAACCTGCATGTGCTGGATAAGTACAGGGACAATCCGTTCGAGGGGTTCACCCAGTTGGCCCAGCAATATGGCGATATTTACACGCTGACCTTCGGACATACCCGCTGCCTGGTGGTCAGCAATCTGGAACTGATCCGCGAGGTGCTGAATCAGAATGGAAAGGTGGTCAGCGGACGGCCGGACTTTTTGCGCTATCACAAGCTGTTTGGAGGCGAGCGGAGCAACTCGCTGGCCCTGTGCGATTGGTCGCAGCTGCAGCAGAAGCGACGCAACATGGCCAGGCGCCACTGCTCGCCACGCGAGTCCTCTTCGTTCTACATGCAAATGTCGCAGATCGGCTGCGAGGAAATGGAGCACTTTATCCGTGAGATAGACGCGCGGATGGTGCCCGGGCAGCCCTTCGATGTGAAGACGTTTCTGCTGCGCGCCTGTGCCAATATGTTCAGCCAGTACATGTGCTCGCAGCGGTTCGACTACGACGACGAGGAGTTCCACAAGATTGTGCAGTACTTTGATGAGATCTTCTGGGAGATCAATCAGGGACATCCGCTGGACTTTCTGCCCTGGCTGTATCCGTTCTATCAGCGCCACTTGAACAAGATCGTCCACTGGTCCTCCACCATTAGGAAATTCATCATGGATCGGATCATCAGCCATCGGGAGCTGCACATCGATGTGGATGAGCCGGACAGCGACTTCACCGACGCATTGCTCAAGAGTCTGATCGAGGACAAGGATGTCTCACGCAACACGATCATCTTTATGCTGGAGGACTTCATCGGTGGCCACTCGGCGGTGGGTAATCTGGTGATGCTGGCCCTGGCCTACATAGCCAGGCATCCGCAGGTGGGCACGCGCATACAGGCTGAAGTGGATGCCATATCCGGCCAGGGGCAGCGGCAAATCAATCTGCTGGATATGAGCCGAATGCCCTACACCATGGCCACGATCTTTGAGGTGCTGCGCTACTCCTCGTCACCGATTGTGCCGCATGTGGCCACCGAGGATACGGTGATCGCTGGCCATGGCGTCACCGCTGGCACCATTGTCTTCATCAACAACTATGCGCTGAACAAGAGTCCAGAGAACTGGGTGCAGCCGCATCAGTTTGAGCCGCAAAGGTTCCTGGAGGAACCAACCGAACGCAGAGACTCCAGAGATTCCGATTCGGGCATTGAGGGTGATCGCAAGGAGCTGCAACTCCGCAAGAATATTCCACACTTTCTGCCCTTTAGCATTGGCAAGAGGACATGCATTGGCCAGAATCTGGTGCGAGGATTCGGCTTCCTGCTGCTGGCCAACCTTCTGCAGTGCTACAATGTGTCCAGCGGGGATCCCACAACGATTAGGATTACGCCCGCCAGCCTGGCATTGCCAGCCAAGTGCTTTCCCTTGCTGCTCACAAGAAGGGCATAGGCATAGCATCGATCTGGGCAGTGTGAAGTTCTGTTTTATATTTTTTGGCTATAACTTTGCGAAAATGGGAGCAGCGCACAACCTCAAAGGGGGGCCGCCGCCACCGCCGTAACTTAAGAGCTAAACGTGCGGAAGTACAAGGAGAGTGGAGAGAGAGAGAGAGAGAGAGTAGTCCAACGCGCATCCATCTGGCATTAAATCATAGTTAAAACACTAATATTTAAAATTAAAAATAAATATACGAGTATAAATGAATGCATCAGACAATTGAATCGCATATAAAATATATATATAATAATTTAAGCTTTCAGAAGACGAGAAATATACTCTACTCTTTCTAGTGTTCCGCTTAGGTCTAATGCTTAGTATCAAAAGAAATGTATTGCCACAATTTGTCGAATCGAATGATTGTTTATGCTTGAGAGATGCCCCTGGAAACTGAACTCTGGGCACTCAATCTCAATCCATCCATCAATTTGCATAGTACCTACACGTGAATTAATTCTGTGGATTCATCCGATATATATATATATATATATATGTATGTATGTATGTATGTATGTATAATGAATATATTTACAATTTTTTGTTTTGTTTTCTTTTAGAAATCCGTAGACAAATGTGAAATGTCGAATCAGGCGTTATCTTAGCCACTAATAAATCTGTTAAGAATCCTATATATAAATGCGTTTTGTTCACATGATTAGTCCGTTAAAATTAATTTGAAAACAAATTATAAAAAAAAAATGTTGTGTGAAAAAAAAAGAATTAAAAAACCTTTTGGTAGGTTTTGGGTTACAGAAAAAGAGTGGGTGTGGGATGGGGGGGTAGAGAAAATTATCTAAAATTATTTGCTAATTAATGAAGACTGAAGATCGAGCTGGGAGGAGGAGACTCGGACTGTTATTGGCTCTCCAGCAGAAGCTGCACCTCGCCCAAGGGCTCCTCTGCGACATCGAGCTTCAGTTCGTCCGCCCTGGGCGTGGAACCGCCATCCAGATCGAGTGTCTTTGGCAGCGGTCCAATCTTTTGCAGTATATCGACCGGCATAATCTCCCGAATGGTGGGCACCGGCTGTACCGTGAACGTGGGCAGTGGCGGTGGCGTAAAGAAGGGCACCGGCGACGGTGTCGAGGAGCTGGCATCAGGCACAGCCACAGCCAGAGGAATTGGCAGGAGTCCGGCACTTGGCGCTGGCATCATCGGAGCGGGCTGTGGATAGCTGTGATACGGATGGGCACCCAGCACCGGTATGGGCATCGACACGGGCGGTGAGGAGGGCGGCGGTCCACTCAGGAAGTATGGCACGCCATTGTGCATGGGAATGGGCATCATTCCCTCGTGCATGACCAGCGGCATGCGCATCGGCATTCGCATGGGCATTCGCGCTGGCATCCGCATCGGCATCGGCATACCCATGGGCAGGGGCAGGGGCAAGGGCAGGGGCAGGCGCATGGGCATCCGCAGCTGCATGCGCTGTGCCGGCGGCGGCGGATGTTTGCTGAAGTACTCCTTGAGCATGGCCGCCTTGGTGGCGGGATCTGCATTCGGGGGCAGCAGTGGCGGCCGATGGCGCAGGAAGCCGTGTGGCAGCGGCGGCAGGCGGCCCGTCTTCACCAGCATTTCAAAGTGCTTGCGATCGAAGCGGGGCACGGGCGGACGCATGAGCCGCGAGTGCGACACCACAATCTCACGCTTGTGCGGATCCAGGTGGAAGTAGCGCATCTTGGACTTCTTCTGCACGAGCACCGCCTTCTCCTGGTCCGGTGGCTTCGGCGTCACGGGCGGCGGTGGCGGTGGTGCGGCCAGCAGCTCATCGCGCAGTCGCTGCAGCCTGGCGGCTGCCTTGGCGCGTCGCTCCTGGTACTCCTGCATGGCCCGCTCCACGGCTCGGCTGACAATCACGCGATCCTCGCCGTCGCTCTCGTTGCTCGGCTTGACACTGTCCACGAAGCTCACACGCTTCTTGGGTTTCCTGTGGGGTCGGTGGTGGGTGGACAGATTATAGCAGCAATCCCAAGGGATTCGTTTGACTCTCTCGCTTACCTGTCTTTCTCTTCGCCATCCTTGTCGTTGGCCGTGGGCACAATTTCCAGTACATTGCCCTTGCGAACAGCCACAGACACCGCCGCCACAGGCGCAGCAGCTGCAGCTGCAGCAGCATCTTTGGGCAGCTCAGCCTCAGGCTTGGGCGGCACCTTCGTTTCCAGCAGCTCAGAAACAGAAGGAGCAGCAGCTGCAGCACCCGCCTTGGGCAGTTCACGCAGCACCGGAGATGTCTCCATGAGGGCACCATACTCCCCCCCGTAGACGCCGGCGGGCATGTCCATCGCTTCGCTGAGCTGCGCGTAGGCCTGCTCCATGTGGTAGGCGGAGTCTATGTAGGCCGCATAGGTGTCGTAGTCCTCGCCCGTCGCCTCTCCGTGCAGCAGCGACATGTTGTAGTAGTAGGCGGCCGCCTCCAGGCTCTGATCCTCCCCAAAGTAGTCGGCAAAGTCCCGGTCCTCCCTGCGTCCGTCGAAGGGCGAGCGGGAACGCGATCTGGTGGAGGAGCGCGTGCGGGAGTGGGATCTTCTTCTGGTGGGTGAGCGGGAATGCGAGTGCGAGGAGGACCAACTGCGTCGCATGGGCGGCGATGGCGGCCTAAACGGCAGCGGCGATCGTGGCGACAAGCGTTCGCGTTCGCGCTCCCGCTCCCCCCTCTCTCGGCTGTAGGAGCGCCTTCGATGGGCGGGCGGTGAGCGGGGCCGGGGTGGCTTCACTGGACCTGGCGACACGGAGACGCGTCGTCGGTTGCCCGACACCTTCTGGAAGCGGTTTCTGCTGCGCTTTGGACTCCTGCTACGCGTCCGACTACGGCTCACGCTCTTGCTGTGGCTCCGCTTGAGGGCCGTCTTTTTCGCCAGGCGAATACCCGCCCGCCGGGGCGAAGGGGGACGCCAGCGCGGCCGTGGGCTGGGCGAACGGGAGGAGTCCTTTCCCCTGTTGGAGCGCACACTGCCGCGCCGAAAGGCTCGCTCTCGGTTCCTGGACGGCGATCTGGAGCGAGTTCTATCTCTGCCCGGTCGCCTGCCTCCGCCTGGCGTTGTGCTCCGTGGAATCCTTGGCCTGTTGCGCGTCTCCACAATGGTGGGCTTGACAATGGCTATCTCCTTGGGGCGCCTCACATTGCTGATTTGTGGCTGCTGCTGCTGCGGCTGGCGTTGCCCCACCTCCAGCTTCACCTTGACGGCTTGCTGCTGCTGCTGCTGCTGCGATGGCTGCGGATGCTCCGTGTCGTCGTTGTCAAAGATGGCCGGCTTGCGGGTGAGCTTCAGTGGCGAGAGGGTCAGCTTGATGGCCTCCCGATTGTCATCGAAGATGTTGTTCACGGGCGTGGGGGAGCGCGCCTCTTGCGTCTCCTGCCCGTCCTGCTGGGACTTGAGTTCCTGCTTGCGATACTTGTCCATGATGGCATTGCGCTGCATGAGGAACAGCGACTCCATCTTCAGCAGCTCCTCGGAGATCTCATCGCCCGAATCGTAGTTCTCGCGCATCATCTGTATCCTGGCCAGATTGTCCTCGAGGCTCTTCAGCTTGCGCAGATCTTTGCTCACGTTGTTCTTCTTCTGCTGCAGCTGCAGTTGCTGTTGGTGCTGCTGCTGCTCCTTCTCAGGGGGATCCTCCAGAGAGGTTTCGGATCCCACAGAGATTAGGGCTGCCTCTACCGAAAGGTTACCTTCTTCCGCTTCCGCTTCCGCCTCCTGTTGCTCAGCATTAGCATCATCATCGTCTTCGTCGTCATCTTGATCGTCATCCGCTGTACTGGACTCTTCATCATCATCATCATCATCGTCGGAGCTACTGCTGCTGGTCGACGACTCGGAACCGGAGGAAGTCTCAGTCTCGGCAGTGGAATTGCTTAAGGAACTATTTTTGGAGGCTGTGGCTGTGGCCGTGGCCGTCTGCCCCTCGCTGCACATATTAATACTATTCATAAACTTGTCATAGATGTTGACCAGATGCTCCTGGCTGGCACCGCCCAATGGAATGGCTGCTGGCTGCTTCGTCTTGGGCTTGGGTGGCGGCGTGCTCTTGGCATTCCACAGGTCATTCGTGTCATCCCCGGTCGAGTCGCCACTGATTGTTGCCTCCTCCATGGAGGAGGACAGCGGACGAACAGCAGCCAATGGTGGAGCAGTGGTGCTGGCGGCAGTCTTGGGCATACTGCTCAACGAGTCATCGTTCTCCCAGTTGTCAATGTAGTCGTCGGTGTCGGGACTCTCCTGCTGCTCCGTTGCCATGGCTGGGGCCAGCGGTGGCGGCGCATTGGCTGCCACAGCACCATTCCGCACCAGCATCTCCATCTCTGTGTCCAATGGCGGCGTCGCATTGCGCTCCAGCTTGATCTGGCTGACATCAATCATTGGCATGGGCAGCGGCGTCGGCGAGATGTTCCGCTCAATCTTAATGTTGACTTCTTTGTACTCGTCGCTGCGTCGCTGCTGATGGCTACTGCTGGACGACTCCTTTTCCCGCGATTGGCTGCGGTGCTGCCAGGCGCTGCCATTCCCCAGAGCACCACCGCCTGCTCGAGACGTTGATCTGCGCTCATTTAATACTGACTCCTGCTTCCTGAACGGATTCACACGGCGCGTCACGTTAGGATCCGCAGTCTCCCAGTCGCTGCTGGCAAACTGCAGCTGCTGCTGCACCTCTGGTTGGGGGGCACTCCTGGGCGCCTCTTTGCGCTCCTTGTGCTCGTTGGTGCGGCGCAGCAGCTGCTCCTTGGTGGCCAGCAGTGCCTCCAAGTGCAGATCATTGTCCTCGAGCAGGGCCCCGATGCGACTGTGAATCTCGCTGGCCTTCAGCAGCGGAGCTGCCTTGGCGGTGGCTGTCAGTGGCGGCGTTGTACTCCGGTGGATGACTGTGTCGGCGCTGGGAACGGGTGCTATCTGTGGGGCAGTGTGGTGCTGTCTTGGCGGTGATTCGGCGAATATATCCAAGCCTCTTGGCTTCTCATCCATGTCCAACGCCTCACTGGCAGCAGCAGCCGTCGGCGGCGGCGGCAGCAGGAGTTCGCGTGGAGGCGTCAACGGTGGCGTTCTATCCGCACTCTTGGGCGAACGATTTCTGCTTCGACTGCGCGTTTTCGTGCGCTCCAGCTTCTTTTCCTTGGGCAGCTTTTCCTTCGAGGATCCGCTTGGCTTCTCCCCCGAACGCTCCCTGGACCTGTCATCCTTTGAGCTTTCTTTGGAACACTTTGCAGTGGATTTTTCCCTGGAACGCGGCCTTGGCCTGCCATCCATCAATGCTTCTCGTCGTCGTTGCTTTTCAGCTGATTGTTCGCGCATTGCTTCCTTCGAGCGGTGCTCCCTGGGCTGTTGCCTTTGATTGTCATTTGAGAGATCTTTCGACTTCTCTGCATGATTTCTGTGCTCCTCTTTGGAGCTCTCCTTCGGTCGCCTCACACTATTCTTGTCATCTTTGGATCTTTCTCGTGGGGCTTCCATCGGCTTTGTCTCCTTGGATAATTCTCTGTGCCTGTCTGTGGACTTGTCGCTGTGCCTGTCCTTGGATATTTCTCTGGACTGTTCCTTGGGCATATCTCTGGACACTTCTTTCGATAATTCTCTGTGCTGTTCCCTTGATATAGCTCTAGGTTGATCCTTGGATCGTTCTCTGTGCCGCTCCTTGGACACATCTCTAGATGTTTCCTTGGATTTATCTCTAGACTTATCCTTGGATTTTCCCCTTTGCTTATCCTTTGAACTTTTCCTATTGCTCTGCTTGGTCGCTTCCCCAGTCTTCTGCTTGGGCGTTTCTGCTTGCTTCTCCTTGGCACGTTCCCCATCCTTCTCATTGGCCGCCTTTTCCTTGTGCTTGTGCGTAGATCGGCCCTTCGATTGCTTCCTCAGAGCATCTGAGCTGGCAGGTTCTTTGGACTTGAGTGGCGCTTGTTTCATGGCAGTTGACTCCGCCTTCTCCTGGCAGGCCTTGTGCTGGGCTATGGAGCAGTCCGGGACCAGGTTAAAGTTGAACTGTATGGGCGGCTCCGTCGTCGTCCAGCTGCGATAAATCCAAAAGATTATAAACCTAGATCTCCGTCACAAATAATTCAAATACGTACTCCGAATCCGACTTCAATTGCTTGCTGGGTCCCGAGCTGCCGCCGGGTGATCCTTGGGCGGGCGGCAATGCTGGTCCATAGGATCCTGGCGGCGGGGCGCCACCCATATTGGGCGCGCCCATGCGGTTGGGCGGCCGATTGAAGAAGGGCGGGCGCATGCGTAAGCCGCCGCGCGGCATCCGCGGCATGAATCCCATGCGTGGAAACTCACAGAACGGCGGTCGCATGTGAAACCGCAGCGGATTGTGGCCGAGAAATGGTGGGCCGACAGACGGGGCAGCCTGTGGCATGGCTGCAGCCGCTGCCTCGGCTTGCTTCTCCTTTCTGGCCTGCTGCACATCCTCCACGTTCCGCTGCTCCTCGCCCGAGGAGTCCGTGTCCGAGTACAAACCTTCGCTGTCATCCGGATCCTCGGAGGGCGCACGAGCAGTTCCATTTTCCTGTGCCCGCGACGTCGTGTTGCCCCCCTTCGCCTCCTTGCGCCTGACGCCATCCCGCTCCGCGAGAGCACGCACCTTGCCGCCGTCCGTATCGATTTGTGCCAGCTTGCGCAATGTCTTGCTCTTCGCCTCCTTGGTCGGCACTTTCCTCAGCGCGGGACTACTGGCGCCGTCGTGGTTGAGGTGGGGCGGGGTTACCACCTCGCCCGGCTCCAGACTGCTCGTGTCACCATCTTGCAATTCATCGATTGCCCTTATATGATGCTGCGGCGGCTGCAACTCCCTGACAAGGCCGCCAAGTGCCGCTGATCCTGCTCCTCCTGCGCCTACGTCACCTCTTGCCACTGCTGCTGCTGCTGCTGGTGCTGCTGCTGCTGCTGCAGTCGCCGTCGTCAGTGACATACTTGCATCAATTTGTCGGTGGCCTCGAAACGTTTTTGTTTAGAACACACGCTTTTTCTTTCAATGGCGGCGCCGCGTTGTTGTAGCTGTTGTCGCTGTTGGTCCACGCTGGAAGGCGATATGGTAAAGGTACAATCAATGCGGCTGCGGATTACGGACCGACGTCATCTATTGCAGCTCTCCAACCACCTCCGCAGGTTCCGGTTCATGTATTAAATATATGTTTATGCCATTTTATCAATCATCATTGAAAAGCAAAGCCAGGTCGATGTTGATTTGGACGAGTTGCACGGCGCGCCAGGGTGGGAGACGGCAGTGCTGCCGATTCCTTTTTTTTTTTTTTCCCCGTCAAATCTGGCGGTTTTTCTACATTTCAGTCGATATATACCAGCATACAAAGTATTTTTATTATTTGTTATGATTATTATTTTTCGATATTTATTTATTTATGTGCACTCCACTTGCAACTTGAAATCACAAATATGTACATGTGTGAGGTATTTATTTTTCCGCTGCTCAGAAACATACCTCTCAAATACCACACATTGTAATTGCTGGTTCAGAGTGTAGTGAAAAACGAGCAAAATTCGGATAACTATGAATATTTTGTTATGCAAGCATCGTAACATAAATATGTTATTATTTATACATATAACATTTACTAAATCGAGCTTAAACTCTGGTATGATCATCATATTATCATTTTCAAAATATACCATAAATATACCGAAGAGAAAAAGACTTAACCCACTGAAGCCCCCCATATTTAAACGGTGAAAATGCTCAATTAAGCCGCGGAAAATATCACTGTTTGTATATTCTTCTTGTAGATTCATCCTTCCTCTTTGATTACAAGAAAATATTACCGCGATATCTTTTACCTAAAATGGGTAAAAAAGGTTTCAAGTTTCATAATATTCGTGCGTTAATCGAAATACCCACTGGTCAACAATGGGTTAATCGCGCTCTGTCCATGAACGGAAATCAAATTACTCGAATTTTAAAATCGATTTCATAATTATATATATAATAATATACCGTAAATATACCGACAAAAAACACGAACGCAATTATGTTTGTGCTTTGCACCTAACAGCACCAGCATAACATAACAGCACAATCGCTAACAGAACCAATATCTGCGCCCAACAGCACACAAATGACAGCCCTGCAGCGTTGCCACCTTAACATTGCACATTTAAATTATTTTTCAAACTTTTTTTCACTTCACCAACGACTTTTACATGCATCACGAGTTTTGCGGTAATCATAAACTGTGTGAAACGCAATCAAACATCGAAATGCAGTCGGGCTAAGGCAAACTCCACTTATTTCCGCTTCCTGCTGCCGGCTGTCGGCTGGGCGAGCGAGCGGGTCGGCGCACTCAAATGCGAAGTGCAAATAAATGACAAATTACAAATTACCGTTGGGCCTGCTGCACCCAAGGCACACATAAATATGTAACTCAAGCGAAACGGTGGAAAAGCCACAGCAGCAGCAGCACCACACAAAAGATTATGACATTGCCCAGCGGCTGATCGGTAGGTTGGCTGAGGGGAGGGGCGGGTGGTGAAAAGGTTGCCTATGGCTAAACAACAACAACACCAAAAAAAGAAGAGAGCGCCTCAAATTGTCTTTGGATGGGATGCTGCACTGTTTTTTGTCCCGCCCCGTCACGTCATGTGTCTGCCTCCTACCCCCCCACCCACAGCAAAGCTTTTCTTTCATTGTGGATTTGCATGCAACTTTCTCCGACACGACGGCTGCTGCTGTGCAGCGACTGCGCGGCGGCAGAGGACAAAGACAGAGATAGAGACAGCGGCAGAGGCAGAGGCGAAAGGTGCAAATTAATTCGCGGCGCCCCACAATAACCTTCCTCACTCCGTCTGCTGACTGCTGGCTGCTGGCTGGTCTCTCCCCTCATTGCTATCGCCGTAATCTGTTGCTCCCCTCAAACGAATTTTCGGTTTCTTCTTCTCAGCTTTGTCACAAGTCAGGCCTCAAGACGACACCCGAAATGCGACTTGTTATCGCATTTTGAAAATCTTCAGCCCGCTAAGTGAATGTGCAATAAAAAACACAGCCACCATTGTTTGGGAACATGTCGAAAATTCAACTGGGATGTCCCTCGAACAAACTTTTCACTGCCCTGCCTGACTTGCTGCTGCTGTGGTGCGTACGGCACCCCAAACCCCCATTGTAGCTGGCGACCACGAGACTTCACAAATTTTTGGCACCTGGGTGTGAAAGCCTTGACGGACTGTTGAGGGATGTCGCTTTGTCCTGAAATGGAGACGGAAACGCAAGAGTCCAAGGTGAAACAATTGCTTTAACATTAAGATGGGAATCCACAAACAAAACAGATTGATTCTTTTTTATTTTTCTGCTTCTGTTAGTTTGCTCATCTCTCAAAGGGTTTTATCTATAAATTCTAGTACCCAACTTCCTCTACGCCGCAAGAGCACAGCACAACTCTCTTGCCCATTAACATTTTTTTAATGCCGCATTTAACCAAATATGTATGGCTACAAATGTAGCTAATTTTCCTATAAACTCGTACACACACAATATGCGATATATGTATATTTATTTTCATGATCTCTGGTAGTGTTGGCAATTAATACCCGAGAAGCGTTAAAAGCGCAACGCTCGATGGACATTGAGGGCGGCGGCACGGCACTCCAACTCTGTTTGTGGCTGTGACAAATGAGAGCGGTAAATGGTAAATGGTTAGGATGGTAAATGGCAGAGTAGATGGTGGTAAGGTGGTAAATGTTGTTGGCCAGCCGCAGGTTCCAATCCAAAAAGCCCCCCACCACAAAAGCAAAGCAATGACGACGAGTCATTGACATTCGCTGCGATCCAAGCTTGAACTAGAAAACTAACAAACTTCGCCATTCGAAAAAAAAAAAATGTGATAATTGCAATGGAATACACAATGTAAGCCAAAAGAGAGAGCCAGAGAGGCAGAGATACATAGAGAGAGAGAGAGAGGGAGCTGAAAGGTAGCCAATGATTTCTGTACTCTAAGGTTTATTAAAGGTTCTAGAGAGCATTATTGAGTGTAATTTAGAAGGTAAAAATTAACAGAAATAATACAATAAGGCAATCAAAGTTGGTTTAGATTTAATTGAGATTTGAGTTATGAGAATTACGGAGAGAATATGCTACATTTTAGCTGCCGCTAACTCTGTAGATACTGTTCCTATATTTGGTTGGTTTTTATTGCTTTACAAATGCTATAACATAAATAAAAAAACATAGAACCACATTAGTGAGGGTATAAACAGAATCCAAACTATTCCAGGCGCGTACCCATACCAAAACTATACGAGTCATATGCAGGTACACCCCACCACATTCATACACAGATATGGACAGATCGTTCCAAACAGAAGCGTCGCTAATTGGCAATATTTAGAGAGACAGAGACAGGCAGATGAAGGGGAAGGAAGAAACAAAGAGAGAAAGAAAAACAAATCCGAAAACAACACGAATGATCTTCAGATCTCTTCCCCCCCATCAATTTACGGGCTGCTGGGCATACAAAAACTTCTTTTGTTCCTATCCAAATTGGCTTAATTTTTATGAGCATGCTTTCATCACATGCCCAATGCCCGGTCCCCAAGCAAAAGGATGCCACAAAGAGAGCGATAGAGAGAGAGAGAGAGAGCGTAAGAGGGGGAGGAGGGTTCCAGTTGGGATTTTCTAACATTAAGGTGTTAAACGTCGGTCGCACGTTCGTTCCAATAGCCCGGACACACAAAAAGGGGGGCAAAAAATTATGGATTCTTAGAACGCAGTTTCTGTGTGATCAGCGAGAGGGCAAATTAATATAGAAACTAGTTGACATACTATAGTTAATATACCTTTTTTCTATAGGCTCTAAGGTGTACGGCAAGAACCACTTGATCCGCATGATCCTGAGCAAAAATATATGTACATATGTACTCTGTTATATGAAGATAATATATATGTATGTAGGTACTTACCTTTGTACTCTACGTGTATAAATAAAATAAAATCCCCGTGGAAGTAATCTTTGAACAGTTGAAAATTCATTTGTAATTACTCGTCGCCGCTTCGCGCACTCTCCCGTGACCAAACTCCCATCAAATGCGATTGAAATATTCGTATTAGCCGAGGGGAATATAGGAAGTTGGTATCCCCACTAATGAAGTAAGGAAAAATTTATAATTAATGAAGTGAAATCTAAAGTGAATTGTGTGTAAAGTAATAGAGGAAAACTAGTTTTCAAACTATTAAAGAATATAAATGTCCGTAAAAATTATTACTAATTTACAATTGGTAGAGGTTGCTGCAGATCTTTATTCATTTTAGCTACTAACAAATCAAGCAAAATTAATAAATTAATAAATTAATGTATATGATCGGTATTACGCGTTTTCCTATCATTTTACAAGCTGATTTCCACACTCAAAGATTCACTTGCAAACAGTCTCAGTCTCAAACCCATCAAAGTTCGCCCTGCCCATTGGATTGTTTATTTCTCTTTTGGTTTTCTTCGTATGTTCGTAACTTTATTTTGCTGGGTTTATTTTGGTTTGCTTGTTTACCTTTATTTTTGGGGTTTTGTTTGTTAATTTTTTCTATTTTTTCATTTTTTTTTTTATTGTTATTAGCTAATTTTAGCCAAAATGGCGACGAACGGCGACGAGAGCTGCGCTAACGATCGCAAACTTTTGTAGCCTTTCGTTGTCGGGGATACTCTTTTGCAGCGGGTAATTCGATTTATAGCCGGGCCCAAGTTTGCCTCTATAACTATCTCATGCTCTGTGTTTGTGGTAGTATTAATTTGTTAATATTTGAACAACCCATTTGTGAGAGTATCAAAAGCTTCTACTACTAAACAAGTCTTACTTTTTGTGGCTGGTTGTTTTTTGTGGCTATTATTTATGAGATTTTTTTTTGTGATTTGTTTCGATTTTATTTTGCGCATGCACAAACCTCAGTTATTAGGCAGCGGCGTCTCATTGTATCTTCGAGATACTCGCATGTATCTCCCGGTGCATGTTTGTGTGTGTGTGTGTGTATCCGTTTGATGGCTGCATTGAATTTGCTTTTTGTTTTTGCTCGTTTTGAGTTTTTGTTTTTGTTTTTTGCTGCTGCTGTTTCCATTTTACACAATTCCCAAGCCTAAGACCGGTGCCACGTCGCCGCTTGGTACCTCCCCAGACGCCCCCCACACACACCCCGAATCTGTAGAGCGGTTCCAGCCGGTGCTTTAGTCGTAGTCAAAGCCGGGTGCCAATTTGCGAGTCAAGCCTAGCGCATCTTTGAGTAGAAATGTTTATAGTCGGTGAAAAAACAAAACAACAAAAAAACCCCACAGATCGTAAAGCCTGAGAGCCCTTCCCTGAATGGTACGAATGGTGCAGATACATACATTCATATATGAACGAGTATATATATATATATATCTAAGGCTTAAGCTCACAAAATTAGCAACAGCCAGAGCGGCAGACATAGACTCATCTCACATTTGCTAATTTAGATAATTCTATAAATTTTGACATAAGTTTTACGACTTGTAGCCGTTCAAAATATTTCCAGTAGCTTAATAAATATTTTTAATAAATAATTTCTTGATCAGAAAAAAGACGACAGAGGCGTGGCAAAGGCGCATATTAATTTCTAGAATAAATTTCTCTGTTTACCTCTCAGTCAAAAGCCATTGGAATTGGAAATTTCTAATGTTGTTTTTCTAGAAATCTACATTTGGTAGGGCAGGTCATTTGGGTTCGGGGCCGAATCCGATTTGCATACAGATCTTTAGCTTTTGCTGCTGGCGGGGGGGGAATTCCAGTTGTTAAAGCTGTTTTTAGGTTGAAGAACAAATGTCACTCGACATTGCCAGCTGTAAAGCTGTTAAGCTGTATCCATGAAATTAAGATTCAACTGTTCCCATTCCCATTTCTCCCCTTTTTTTTTTTTTTGCAATGGATGTAATCTGTGATGCAATGAGAAAACACAATCAAAAATGTAACTCTAATTAATAATTACGGCAAAAAGCTAGGCAAAAAGTAAAATGAAAATGTAAATTAAAGCCATGGGATTAGCCAGTTGGGAGGATGATCCCCCAGACCCAGACAGACCACAGACCCACACAGTGAGCATCCCCTCCCATCACCTCCTCTCTCTGTCTGTCTTGAGGGGCGTTGCATAAACACAGACAAAGAAAAACACTCTTCTTTTTTTTCACTCTATTGACTAATCACTTGGAGAGTTTGACCAACTCTGTTGGTTGGTTCGTTGGTTCGTTGGCTTGTGACATTTTAATCATAAACCCAGAAAATTATGCAATTAACAGAGAAAGAGTCCGAAAAAAAATAACAAACAGATCTCCAGCTTACATAAGCTCTTAGCTTGGGTCACCAAAAATAGATAATAAACGAGCATCTAGCATGATATAAAAACCAGCAAAAATCAGACAAGACGAAGGAAGACAAAACAAAAATCAAAACACAATCATAGAAAACAAAAAACGGATTGGCCACAGGGCGTATAAGCAATGTCGGTGGTGTAGGTGGAGTAGCATTATCATTAGCATTTAATTCCCAGTAAATTTTTGGAGACTCGACCCGTAACCTTAGATTTGTTTTGATTTGTGTGCTGCCCCCAAAGTGACAGCCATATGCCGCCTGAAATTATGAATAATCTAAGCAAACAGCAGGCGGCTGGCAATCAAGATGAACGCTGTCTATATAGCATATACTATACCTACTATATATATAAATAGTATCTCCTATAATATGACTACTAGTGTGTATTCAAAAAAAAACTGTATCTGTATGGGGGCAGGGGGACAAGTGCATTATTGCTTTTGGTCGGCCCCAACTACAATTATTACAACAATGGAAAAATACAAAACAACAAAAATTAATGTTTTTTTTTTGTGTATTTTCGTAAGCAACAAAAACAAGAAGTTGTAGTGCAAAAGCAACAAGAAAGAGTCGCTGCAACAGCAGCTGAAGCAGCAGCAACAGCAACAGCAGCAGCAGCAGCGGTTCCAACAACTTTTAAGTCGGGGAGCAAGTTATACGAGTGCTCGTACGAGATCTGTTCAGTTTCTTAATTTATGTCTGTGTGTGTGCATGAATATGTGAATGTGTTGGCGGAGTACGAAGTACCTTTAATTTTTAGTGTGTCGAGCTTTTTGCCATACCACAGCATACCATACCCTAACTATACGGCTAAAGCATGTCGTTTCTATATGCCAATTGGTTCTGCTTGTCGCCCTTTAAATTGGATTAGCTGCAACTAATTGAGGGAATGCCGAACGAATTGTTTTGGGTATAGAAAGGTTGAAAAACAAATTGAAGTTATACAAATATAAATAGTTATGGGTATACAAAAAGTTCTTTAGATGCTACGAGTTTCATTAAAATCATTTTATATAATTATGTTTATTATTATTATATTTAATTCACTTATTGCTGAAACTCATCATTGTCGTCACGGGAGTAGCTTTATGACCACTGTTCATGTAGAGTCGAGTACTTTTTTCCTTTCTTAGCTTAGGGTATTTCTATTTTTTTTTAGAAGTTTGTAATGACGGTTAGATTTTAGAACAATTAGAGTTCTATAATAAATGTACATATGTATATATTCAATTTCTATCTTATTTATTCTATTGATAATTATTATTATATATAAGATAGAAATAGAATATATATGGACATTTAAT